CCAGAGTCCCCCCATGGGGGGGAGATGGGCGGGGGAGAAATTTAATAAATAAATAAATGAAATAAATAAATAAATAAATAAATAAATATTTCTTGACTGTTGATTCTTTTACTGTCAATTATCAATCTAAAAGGGCAGAAACAATTCACCATTTCAATAGCTTCTTTGTCATTCTGAGGCTGGTTACTATATCTGTTCTCATAATTTGGTCTTCTTTATAGTTAATTTTCGTCCCTTTTTTTTCATTGGGCTCCCTGACTTTGATTACGAAAGCTCGCAGATCATTTGCATTTTCAGGTTTTGGAATGGTGTCATGAGCATAAGTACAAGTTATTGATGTTTCTTTCTCCTGTTTTAAAACTACACTCATCTTCTTCCAATCCAACCTCCCTCAATTTATATCCCGCATATAGGATGAATAAATAAGGAGAGAGTATACAGCCTTGTTTTTTGCCTTTGCCAGCCCATTTCACTTTGTTCCATCTGGACTATGGCTCCCTATCCTGCAAATAGGTTTCACATGAGAGCAAAGATGAGATTCCAATCTTCCTAAGGATAATCTGCAGCTTGATCAACACAATCAAAGGCCTTTCTATAATTAATGAAGCACATATTAACTTCTTTTTAATATTATTCGGCTTTCTCAATTCTCTAGTATGCATTAGGGTGGAGCAGGAAGGAGAGGTGGCAGGGCTATAAAGCTTGCCCAGTGAAAGCAACCTTTTTGTGAGTTGAATTCCAGAGACTGTCCTCCCACTTGGACTCCCTGTGGCAGAGGTAAGAGGGGCCCCTGGTGCTGTAAGTAATTAATGGGGACAATTTAAATAAGCATGATACTGTTTGTTTTGGTCCTGGCACCTCTTTAATGTCCTTCTGCTTTGGTATCCATCCTGCAAATTTCAGAAAATACCAGCTTTAATACCTGGCATCACCCTTTCATGTAGGGCACTAATCTGCTTTGGATGATCCTAAGAATTATTTTGCTAGCATGTGAAATTAAGGATATGTGTAATAGACTGTACACTGTGTTAAGTCCCCTTCCTTTGGTATTGAAATGTAGATTGACTTCTTCCAGTCTGTTGGCCACTATCTGCAGATATGCTGGCATAGCTTGGTTAGAGCCTGGACTGATCTTCTTCTTCAATACCCTTCTAATTTGGTAATGACTGGAGTGCTGATCTAACTTCATCTTCCACTACTAGTGATTCTTGTAAATAGGGAATATTTTCCATGGTATCTTGGATGATGACATCTCTATTGTACAGAATTTCCTTCCATCTTTCTTTGATCTTTTAATCAGTAACTATTTGTCCACTAGCATCCCTTAACATACCAATTTGAGTTTTTTTCAGAGATCTTCTGGAAGATTATCCTTGTTTTTCCATGCCTGTTTCCATCTTTGATGTCTTTACAGATGTTGTAATACTGTTTCTTATCTCTTCTAACAGCTGTCTGAAATTCTTTAAGCTTCTCTCTGAGATGTTTGTTGTTCTTGGCTTTTGCATCTCTTCTCTTCTTAGCAATTTCCACCATTTGTTCTGACCTCTAGCTTGCTTTCTTCTGTTTCTTGGTCTTTGGCAATCTCTGTTCACATTTTTCCTTAACAATTTGTTTGATTTCATTCCATAGTTCCTCTGATTCCCTATCAATTAGGTTCAAGACTTCAAAATTATCCCTAACATTCTCCTTGAAACTAGTGGATATATGCTCAATATTGTGGAGAGTTGTTGGCTTTCTTGTTCCACATTGGCTTGACTTGGAACTTGCACATGAACAGTCTGTGATCTGATCTGCAGTCAGCCCCTGGCCACATCTTTGTTGTTATGACTGAGCTCTTCCACCTTGTTGTAACAACAATATAATCTATTTGATTTTTATGTACTTCACCTGATCATGTCTTGGTTGCTTGAAGACTGTGTTAGCAATGAAGAAATCATTAGATTGGCTGAAACTAATAAGTTGTTGCCCTTTATTTCTCTTTCCTACGCCATACAGTCCATCTATGTTTTCCACCTTACTATTTGCATCATTGGCATTCCAGCTTTCCACCACAAATAGCACATCTTGATTGCATGTTTTGTCAATTTCAGATTAAACTTGATCATAAAACCTTTCAACCTCCTTTTCTTCTGCATCAGTGGTTGGAGCATTAACTTGCATAACAGTCATATTAAAGGGTTGTCCAGAAACCCTTCAGTCTCTGACTGCATTATACCCAAGCATTGTCTTTACAATATCCTTCCTGACTATGAAATAATATTTTTGATTGTCATATTCTGAGTAATAACCTGTATGATCTTCTGATGGAAAGTGTCCAATTCCAATCTGTTTCAATTTGTTGATTCCTAGGATGCAAAAATGCAGTCAATTCATCTTTCATTGTGTTGAGCTTTCCTGTGTTCTGCTTCTTATGTCCATCTTCCCATTGTAATCGTGTATTTGCAATGTTGGGGTCTTTTTTTTTCTGCATGCAACATCCATTACTAGACATCCCAGAGGCATCAATCTAGCTATGTCATAAACACTCCATACGATCATCACCTCTTCCTCAGTAGTAAATTCATACTATCCGACCTGAATGGTTGGCATTATGTAACCATCATAACAAGCAGCTGTTAAGATCCTTCTTTCTTCTGTCTGCATTTTGCCAACTGTAGAGTGCTGTCTCAAATTACAGAAGGTGCTTATCTCTGGCGAAAAGACCTTCACTGTGTAAGTAGACATCAGTTCTAGACACAGAAGAGAAAAGAAATGCGTTCTAGATGCAAATACAACATAATGTTGAAAGCTTTTTCAAGTTTTATAATTGGCTGGCTTTAGACAAGAGATTACTTTTTAGTTACCACATGCAATGCATTCTGATCTCTGCTCCATATTGGTGAAAGGATTATTGAGGTAATCATATAATAGTCTTAGAACTGTAGTGTAAAATCTGTTCCCCTGAAACCCACCTACGTTTTGCCACCGACATCTAATTTTCAATGTGAGAAAATAAAATACATGATAACCATATTATTAAATGTATTAATAATTTTAATTATTAAATGTATATATTTAATTTAACTGAAGCGAAGTAAAGAAGACCTAGGTTGAGCTTGGCTGCTGTGTGGACACATCCACAGAGTTTTCTTGCCACACAAGACTGATTTGCCATTGCTGCCTTCTGAGATGACTGTGATTTGCAGGGAGTCCCCTATCCAAATGCTGACCAGCCTGATTCTCCTTAGCTTTTAAGACCAGGTAAATATGTCACTGCTGAGACATATTTAGGTTAAATTAAATCACATTTAATTTTTATCCTCACTCCAGGTACTGTTTTTAGAGTGTAGCTTTTGCTCTGCCATTCAAGTGAGGCCTGCAGAATGTAGCCCACCCCCAGTTTAGAATGCATGAAGTCCTATATAATTGCTAGATAGAGAGGTTGCAGTAATGAAAAGGTCTGCTGTACATTAGCTCATCTGGTTTCTTTCCCAATCTTGATGATATTGAGAAAACTCACATTCTTGAGAATCTTTGTTCCCTTATGTTCAGAGGCGCTTAAATGACCTAAGGACAGATGTTGTTTTTGAAGATTTCCCAGAAGAAATTCTCATTGTTGGAAACACGATGTTAGACTCAATAGATCTTTCATTAGAGGAGAAACCATTTAATCTGTCTTTTTCAGCTACCAAGGAACATTTTCAAAACAGGAAAGTGTTTGAAAATATTCAAATTCCCAAATTTCTGGAGTCTTTACATTATCAATATTCTCCCTGAATATTTTTCGTTAAGTTTTCCAGGCTATGATATTCTGTCCTTTGACTATCTCATGTGATTCTGTCTTCCTTCATACATCCTTAATAGTTTTAGGCCAATTTACATAATCTGCTCATGCTATATAAGTATCTGGCAAGCACATATTCAGTTGAAGCTTTTCCAAGGGACAAAAAATAATGTGAAAAAGAAGAGGAAATCTAACGCTCAAGAACTGTATTTATCCTTTGAAATAGAACTTAGAACAGAGGAAGATGAGAAATTAAAAGGCCCATTTATTCCATAATGTAATATAATGGACAAAGCCAAACTGGTTGTTGATATCAAACATTCTTGTGATGGAATGTAAAAAACGGCCCACAGATGATTTAAGAGTATAGAATTAACTGCACTGGCACAAATGGTTCATATGTAGCTTTGGCTTTAGCTGTGTAAGGCTTTTTATGCTACATAACTCCACCATCTGTATTAGGCAGCATGGGGAAGTGTCAAGAATGTTGCCACATTCTGGGTCACTGTATTTCTGGACTGTCTTCATGAGTTGTTGTATGCTTTCCAATAGGTTACCATGCAGGATTCATTGAGTACAGGACTCTTTCATCCAGGATTCTCCACCAAAAGGAATGCATCTATTTTTTTCAAAACTAATAAAAAGTTTTAACCAAATTTATGTGAATACCCAGCATCAGCGTTGGATTCAGAAAGATCTCTCAAATCCTGTTCCTTTAGGGTGAGTGCAGCCCCATTCAAAGCAGGCATATCTCATTTATCCAGCCCCCAGATTCATTAACAATTCTGAATTCTCCCACATACAGTCTTTTACACTCTGAAGACGCAGTGGCAATGTGCAACCAGACATGTTGCTTCCAACTGTGAGGTAAGGGGCCTGAAGACAAATCTGATCCAGCTGCTACAGTGCTCCATGACACATTGCACTTCTTCACCGCTGCCCCTGTGATAGCATCAAAAAGTCCACCAATGTTAAAGATAGCATTCTTACCACATGTTGTAGCCCTTCTTATCACCAATGTCAATATATACAGAAATGTCTAGGACAGGAGTGTCATGCTGTCTGAGGTCAAACCCTTTGAAGACTTAAGTTAGCACTCTAGGTGTAATTCTGGATTCAGTCTGGAATCAAATCAAATCAAAACTTTATTACTGTCATAGACTAGCATAAGAAGAATGGGGTACAGTCAGTTAAAAAGCATAGAAGATAATCAGAGTCTAAAAAAATATGAAAAGCTAGAAGATATAAAAATATGTATTAAAACAGAAAGTATATATATAAAAAACAAGAGTCTAAAAGAATCTAAAAGGAGGGGCAGGAGCATTAGATGGGTGTAGGAGGCATAAAGGTGGCAGACTATATTCAAATTACAGAACACTCTAGTATGAAGAACTAGATGCTCTTTAAAAGTAGTTTATGGCACAGGTCACCATCTGACAAATTTTAATCACTGCTGTGTAGAATCTGGCAACATTGTATGTTGTAGCACGGTTGGTATCTGAAGGCAGCAGGGAGGTGTAAAATTATCCTGTGTGCCCTGGGTGTTAATGCAGTAATGGTGAGATGAGGCTAGTACAAATGTCTTTGTAGTACAGGCCCTGGAGAAGCACATGCTCTGTTGTTTCTGTGTGTCCAGAGTCACAGGGGCACTGTCTCTCTGGGTAAGGAATCTTCCTGTATCGGCCTTCAAGGACATCTGAGGAGAAGGCATGACATCGTGCCAGAGTAGAGGCCCTCTGGTGTTTAGGGATTTTGAGTTTAGTTAAGTATGCCATAGGGGAGGCAGAGTACCTCTTAGATTCATTGGCAACAAAGGTTGGGGACCTGGCTAGATCCAACTGGCACTTAAACAGTCCTCTACACACTGTTTAATGAGTGCTATGCCCTGGTCATATCCCATGCTGAGTAGAAGACCTGGAGAGAAGCCCAAGAATGAGACTGTAGTTGCCACTGCCTGTTTCCATGTGGATTGAAAATCACTCATAGTTAATGGGGCAAGGCCAAGGGGGAAAAAAGGAGATTCTAAGCCAATAGTTGAGTATGGTCACCCACACTCTAGCCTCTGCTTTCATGAGGCCTGTCTCCAGTCTCAGGGTGGCATTAGAGACACATTTTTGGACTTGAAGGGCTGACCTTAGAAATTTGGATTGTACAAGTTCTAATGGTGCAAAATTAGAGAAGGGGTCCAGCTGGGCACCGTAAAGAAGTTGTGCTATTGGCTTGGCTTTGAATAATTTGAGTGTTGCAGGTATATAGTGGTCACCTCTTGTTTTAAGGAATTTAAGGATGGCAGATGAGCTCCTCTGTGCATTTTCAGCAACGTTGTCCATGTGGGCTTTCCTATTGCTGGCAGAATGAAGGACTAACCCCAGGTATTTGAAACAGGAGATCCAGTCTGGAACCAGAACACGAAGGGTTCATTAATCATTAACTTTGAGGGTGAAGATATGGTTACCAGTTGGCTGAACTGATATGATGGGATGGGATTTTCAGAAAGCTAGTTGTGAGAGCCACTTTGGTGTAGTAGTTAAGGCACTAAGCTAGAAACTAAACTAGAGATTGTGAATTCTAGTCCTGCCTTTGGCACAAAGCCAGCTGGGTGACCTTGGGCCAGTCCTTCCCTCTCAGCCGTAAGAAGCAGACAAGGGCAAACTACTTCTGTTTTTTCCCCCAGAAAACTGCAGAAACTCATCCAGGCAGCTGCCAGGAGTCAACACTGACTTGAAGGCACACACAAACACATAATCATGTCTACAATCTAATATCTGAGAGATATTAGCTTTTATTGCTAATACAAGAGTTTGGATAAATGTTATATAGTCACATTTCTTTACTTTCTTATTTCTAGACTTATAGCTTTTAAAAGTCAAAGTATTTAACTAATGTGATGGGTTTATATTATTCTGCTGATGGATGTGAATTCAGATGAACAATTCATCCATTCAGTATAATGATAATCTCTCATAAGTTTCCTTTAATTATTATGATTGGATTAGGGTTGCCCACTCCTTTTTTGGAGTTAGGCAGAAATGCCAAGATAACATATTAAAAGAAGTGATGAGAACCTCAGGTTGAAATAGATTATGCCCTCAAATGGATCAACCACTAATGGGAGAACCAGACAAGCAATGAGGCATACATCAAATACTGAATGGCTTCCAAATGCATCATGTATAAAAGTATAGTAAAATGTTATTTGTTTATGTACAGTATATGCAGAATTTTCACTTGTTATATTTATGGTCCATTATTTTACTTTCTTCATTCATGGGAATAGCATCCTTGGTGTTCAGATTTGTTAAAGGCACTAATCCTCAGAGATGTTGCTGTCATTGCTTTGGAATAGCTTTGTCCTTTTGTCTTGTTGGTTGATGGTTTATTTATATATTGCATTTGGATCTTTCTGCAATCAAGATGAGTCCTGGCAGTTAACATGATATAGAAAACAGCAATGGAAAGAATAAAAGTCAGCACAGAATCAGATCTCAAGAATAATGGCAATAACTCAAAAATGAACTAAAGATGGCTCCAGTCTGGTTAGAACACCTTTCAGAACAGCTTCTTTATTAAAGTGATCAAGGAGGGGGCCTGCTTGATCTTCAAAGGTAGCTTTTTCAGATGACTGGCACTCCTACTGAGAAGGCTGAGGCCTGACTGAAATATTCTGCCACCCGTGATCCCGTGGGAAAGCTGCCAGTGTCAGCAATTGCTCATGATAGAAGAAGTTCCAGACCAGAGGCTGTCATAGCCTATGACAAAGCAAATGAGAGGTTTAATCAACTGCGCAATTCCCACACAGTTGCAGAAATGAATGAGAAGGAAGCAAGAGTTTAAAAATGCATTTTCTGTAGATACAGTTGCTTCAGTCATTTACCCTCTAAACGCTCTGAGTCATTTGGGCTTTAATGACCTTTTTCTATAGGAGGTTTTGGTTGAAACATTCTCTTTTTCAGCTCTGGTTCATGCAGTGATCTATGTCTGAGATCTTTGGTTAGGGCAAGAGTTTCCTTTTATTTTTTATTCTATTCCAACTGTCCCTGGGTTATGGAAAGTGGATATCTGTATCCAGGATACACAAGTGAAAACATTTTGTGGATACAGTCAATAAAGCCTGGAAACATAATGATGGGCAACTCAGCACTTTTTCAGTAAGTGATCTAGTTCAGTGAAGATCCCCTATGAATGACAGGATCTTCAACTTTGTTGAAAATCTAAGTAGCAATAACCAAGTGACTTTTCACTGGTGAAAAGAAGCAGCATTGCCAAAAAAAAAAAAAGAGAGAGAGAGAGAGAGAGAGAGAAAAAAAAAGAAAAAAAGGAACTGTGCTTGTATCTTTATGTAGCAGTCATTTCCCCTTCTTTGGGGCAATCCGCTTACTCTTGGCAAGTATTGATTCTATCTCACACACATTCCCCACCGCAACATTGCCACAGAATGTGGAAAAGGTATTCTTCAAGTGACTTTTCTAACAAATGTTGATTGGGAAATGTGGGGAAATTTCCCTTGCGTTTTCTCTGGGTATATAAAACCATCTACTGAGACTCTTCTGTTTCTGTTCTCCGAATATTTCTAAGGCCAGAAAATGAGGAGCTACAGGTAAGAGAATACGCGGATTTTTTTTAAAGTTGAGGTGGAGGAGAAATGAGTTGACTGCAACATTGAGGTAGCTGGAGTAGTGAAAGACTGGGAGTCTGGCTATCCTGTGGAATGCAGCCTGATTATTATTAAATGTTGTAATAAATACATTTATCCAGAGAACCTCCTGGAAACAGGTGTAGGAGTATACATTTCTAAACATTAAACATCCCCCTGCCCATAAAATTGGATTTAATTTAAGGAGCAAGAAATTCCGTTCTTAGTTTTGTTTCTTTTGTTCATATATAACATAAGGAAAGTTTGATGGAATATAAAAATGTTTGTTTTTGTCCCTTACAACAAAGTAGACTAACCCTAAGGACTGGTCCCTCTTTCAAAACATGGTTTCATCTACAGTACTGTGCAAAGGTTTTAGGCAGGTGTGAAAAATGCTGTAAAGTAAGAATGCTTTCAAAAATATATATTGTAATTGTTTATGTTTATCAATTTACAAAATGCAAAGTGAGAAAACAGAAGAGAAATCCAAATCAAATAAATATTTGGTGTGACCACCCTTTGCCTTCAAAACAGCATCAATTCTTCTAGGTACACTTGCACACAGTTTTTGAAGGAACTCAGCAGGTAGGTTGTTATGCTTTCAAAAATATATATTGTAATTGTTTATGTTTATCAATTTACAAAATGCAAAGTGAGAAAACAGAAGAGAAATCCAAATCAAATAAATATTTGGTGTGACCACCCTTTGCCTTCAAAACAGCATCAATTCTTCTAGGTACACTTGCACACAGTTTTTGAAGGAACTCAGCAGGTAGGTTGTTCCAAACATCTTGGAGAACTAACCACAGATTTCCTGTGGATGTAGGCTGCCTCAAATCCTTCGGTCTCTTCATGTAATCCCAGACAGACTCCATGATGTTGAGATCAGGGCTCTGTGAGGGCCAAACCATCTCTTCCAGGACTCCTTGTTCTTCTTTACGCTGAAGATAGTGCTTCATGACATTGGCTGTATGTTTGGGGTCATTGTCCTGCTTCGGAATAAATGTGGGGCCAATCACGTGCCTCCCTGATGATATGGCATGATGGATAAGGATCTGCCTGTATTTCTCAGCATTGA